TCATCATGGATATTGGCCCGAAGTTTTCTTTTTTTGTTTAGTCTCTGCCTGGTTTTGATATCAGAATGATTTTGGTCTCCTAAAATGTGGGAGGATTCTCTCTTTTTGTATTGTTTGGAATAGCTTCAGGAGGAATGTTACCAACTCCTCTTTGTATGTCTGGTAGAATTCAGCTGTGACATCATCTGTACCTGGACTTTTATTGGTTAGTAGGCTATTAATTGCTGCCTCAACTTCAGCCTTAGTATTGGTCTACTCAGGGTTTCAACTTCTTCCTGTTTTACACTTAGGAGGGTGCCAGGAATTCGTCCATTTCTTCCAGGCTTACTGGTTTATGTGCATAGAGTTGTTTGTAGTAATCTCTGATGGTAGCTTGCATTTCTGTGGAATCGGTGGTGATATCCCATTTATCATTTTTTATTGCATCTATTTGATTCTTCTCTCTTTTCTTTTTTATTAATCTGGCTAGCAATATGTTTATTTTGTTGATCTTTTAAAAAAAAACAGATCCTGGATTTATTGATTTTTTGAAGGGTTTTTTGTGTCTCTATCTCCTTCGTTCTGCTCTGATCTTAGTTATTTCTTGTCTTCTGCTAGCTTTTGAATTTTTTTGATCTTGCTCCTCTAGCTCTTTCAATTTTGATGATAGGGTGTCGATTTTAGATCTTTCCTTGCCTCTCATGTGGGCATTTATTGCTGTAAATTTCCCTCTAGACACTGCTTTGAATGTGTCCCAGAGATTCCTGTATGTTGTGTCCTCGTTCTCATTGGTTTTGAAGAAAATCTTTACTTCTGCATTCATTTCATTGTTTATCCAGTTGACATTCGGGAGCCAGTTGTTCAGTTACCATGAAACTGTGCAGTTTTGAGTTAGCTTCTTAATCTTGAGTTCTAATTTGATTGCACTGTGGTCTGAGAGACTTTGTTATGATTTCCATTCTTTTGCATTTGCTGAGGATTGATTTACTTCCAATTATGTGGTCAGTTTTAGAGTAAGTGTGATATGGTGCTGAGTAGAATGTATATTCTGTGGCTTTGGAGGGGAGAGTTCTGTAAATGTCTATTAGGTTTGCTTGTTCCAGATCGGTGTTCAAGTCCTAGATGTCCTTGTTGATTTTCTGTCTCATTGATCTGTCTAATATTAACAGTGGAGTGTTAAGAAGTCTCCCACTATTATTGTACGGGAGTCTAAGTCTCTTTATATGTTGTTAAGAACTTGCTTTATGTATCTGAGTGCTGCTGTATTGTGTGCATATATATTTAGGATAGTTAGTTCTTCTTGATGTATTGATCCTTTTACCATTATGTAATGCCCTTTTTTGTCTCTTTTGATCTTTGTTGGTTTAAAGTCCATTTTATCAGAGACTAGGATTCCCACTCCTTTTTTTGGCTCTCCATTTGCTTGGTAGACCTTCTTCCATCCCTTTACTTTGAATTTGTGTGTGTCTTTGCATGTGAGATGGGTCTCCTGGATACAGCACACTGATGAGTCTTGACTTTTTATCCGATTTGCCAGTCTGTGTCTTTTGATTGGGGCATTTAGGCTGTTTACATTTAACGTTAATATTCTTATTTGTGAATTTGATACTGTCATTTTGTTACTAGTTGTTTGTTTTGCCCATTGGTCGATGCAGTTTCTTCATTGTGTTGTTTGTCTTTACCATTTGGTTCATTTTTGCACTGCCTGGTACTGGTTGTTCCTTTCCGAATTTAGTGCTTCCTTGAGGAGCTCTTGTAAGGCAGGTCTGGTGGTGATGAAATCTCTCAGTAATTGCTTATCCATAAATTATTTTATTTCTCCTTCACTTATGAAGCTTACTTTGGCTGGTTATGAAATTCTAGTTTGAAAGTTATTTTCTTTAAGGATGTTGAATATTGGCACCCATTCTCTTCTGGATTGTAGGTTTTCTGCTGTGAGATCCTCTGTGAGTCTGATGGGCTTCCCTTTGTGGGTGACCCGACCTTTCTCTCTGACTGCCCTTAGCATTTTTTCCTTCATTTCAACCCTGGTGAATCTGATAAATATTGCCTTGAGGTTGCTCTTCTGGAGGATTATCTTTGTGATATTCTTTGTATTTCCTGTATTTGAATGTTGGCCTGCTTTGCTGGGTTCAGGAAGTTCTCCTGGATAATATCCTGAAGAGTATTTTTCAGCTTTGATACATTCTCCCTGTCCTCTTCAGGTACACCAGTCAATCATAGATTAGGTCTTTTCATATAACCTCTTATTTCTTGGAAGCTTTGTTCATTTCTTTTCACTCTTTTTTCTCTTTTCTTGCCTTCTCTTTATATTTCATTGAGTTAATCTTCAATCTCTAATCCTTTCCTCTGCTTGGTCAATTCGGCTATTGAAACTTTTGTATGTTTCACAAAGTTCTCATGCTGTGTTTTTGAGCTTCATCAAGTTGTTTATACTCTTCTTTAGGATGGCTATTCTAGTTAGCATTTCATCTAACCTTTTTCAGCATTCTTAGTTTCTTTGCATTGGGTTAGAACATGATCTTTTAGCTCAGAGAAGGCTGAGCTAAAAGACTTTTACTCTCCTTCAGAAGCCTGCTCTGTACTTCTGTCAGTTTGTCAAATTCAGTCTGTGTCCTGTTTTGTTCTCAGGGGAGGAGAGGCATTCTGGACTGTGATGATTTTATCCTTTTTGCACTGGTTTCTTCCCATCTTCATGGGTTTATCTATCTTTGAAGTTGGTGATACTGGTTGGGGTCTCTGAGTGGACATCCCTTCTGTTAAAGTTGGGGTTATTGCTCCTATATGAGGCTTTATTTTTTTTACACAGGGTTCAGTGTGCTGCTTAAGACAGCCTGTCCCTTGTCTGCCTGTGGAGGGGCTGCTGGGCTGTGCTGGTCTCAGCTAGGCTGCTGCTTACTCTTCTCCTGGTTTCTGTTTACACTGGTGAAATTATCCCCACCTTCCCAATGGCAGGTCTTTCCCTTTGCGGAGCAGGTTTGTCTGGAATGGAGCTCAGTCTCATTTGTCAACTGGGAAACTCTCCTGCAAGAGGCTTCCACTCGCTGGATCTTGTCGGGGTGGGACCTGTCTGGCTGTATCATCCAACTCCCTACTTTAAACTCTCCTTCCTTCTGTGGGACAGGCAGTTCGGACCCGCAAACCTTCTTGGTGTTAAAGTCTCCGCCCTGGTCTGTGCCGACAATTCTCGGCACCAGGCTGGCCGGTGCAGTCACCTAGGGCTGCGGCTCGGGGTGCTTCTCAGCCAGGCAGCGTTTTCTTGGACTGTGGACTGTAGAAGTCATGGAGTGAAGCACAGTATCTGAATTGAAGTACCGAAGGGGTGAAGCCCCCAATCCTCTGTGCCAGGTGCACTTCCTGGGTGGGGCAGAGCCCCGCCCTTTCTTGGCTTGCCCTCTTTGGGCTGCTCTTGCTGCCTTTTTAGGGGCTGTCAATCCCACTGTTCAACCAGTCCCTTTGAAAAGAACCCAGTACCTTCTTCAGAGACACGGAAATCACTCTTACTTTGTGCCTCACTGGGAGCTCCCCTCCAGAGAAGCTCCCTTGAAGCCATCTGGGCGGAAGTCCTCCACTCATTAGTTTTACGGTTCCTAAAATACGTTTAACGTATTGTGAATTAATTTTTTCTTTTCTTTTTGAGATTGAGTCTCGCTGTGTCCCCCAGGCTGCAGTGCAGTTGTGCAATCTAGGCTCACTGCAACTTCTGCCTCCTAGGTTCATGTGATTCTCCTGTCTCAGCCTCCCGAGTAGCTGGGATTACAGGTTCACGCCACCATGCCCAGCTGATATTTGTATTTTTAGTAGAAACGGGGTTTCACCATTTTGGTCAGGCTGATCTTGAACTCCTGACCTTGTGATCCGCCAGCCTTAGCCTCCCAAAGTACTGGGATTACATGCTTGAGCCACCGTGCCCAGCCGAATTAATTTTTTTTCCCATTTGACAGGGAAAACAGTGGCTATCCATCAGTCTTGGTAGTATGATATTTCATAAGATGTTTTCACCTACAATCCTACAAGTCTCTGATAATTCTTCCTGATGCTTCTTATTGGAGTTTTTAAAGACTGCTGACAGTAAATAATCTTATAAAGGAAAGGAGTATTTTGCAAAGACCAAATATCATAAAAAGTTAAAATATATAGCATTATCTTTATCTTTGGACTACATGTGAGAGGATTTGGGTATTTCAGCTTAAATATAGCTAGGGGCACAAGTTATGAAACACTATGCAAGTGAATTTCTTAACACATGTGGGTTATAGATCACTTTTAGATACCATAAAAACATTAAAGCCCCTCTCTGGGAAAGAATAGACACAGTATAATCAATATACATGTAGACACATGATTGCTAAAAAGCTTAATAAGACACTGTAGCACATCCATGGAATTTTTGGGGGTGCTTGGTCAATCATACCTGATATAGACATGCATTTTCCTCTCTAGTCCATATCTTAGTTGCCATTAACAGTAATTCTACAAATGGACCTAGATACCCTGACATCTCAGAAGCTTGGAATGAATGGCTAATTTTCACAGTCTTGAAGTTTCCCTTTCTGTGACATTAATACTGTCCTCTAAATTGTATTAACCATTCTTTGCCTTGCTCAACTGCTATTGTGTTAGTAGCTTAACTGCTGTTTTGTAAGGACAATTCCAATAATACTTGCTTTCTGCTGGTAGAGGTACTTGCCTTTCTCAACCATGTTCCTCAGAATATTGAAAAAGAACCTAGACTTGTGTGTGTTTGTGTGTGTAGACAGGTATGCGTGTGCATTTATATCTCTATAATACTCATATATGTATGTGTATTAATTTTAGAACTTGCTAGTTGTAAACCTTCAGCTATCACTTGTCTTTAAGTTTCAAACTTCATGTCTCTCCAAAGTGATGTAAAATATACTGATTAATTATAAAGTCCAGTACAAATATTAACATTAATTAATATTTGAATATTAATATTTTGAAAATAAAATATTAATTTCATGCTGAGAAACTGAGGACAAACCTTTTTCTCCCAACAGTACCACCTTTACTGTCCTGGTGAGGCAAAATTGAAAAGCATTAATACTACTATTAGAGTGGATAACGGGCAGAAGCATACACTGCTTATCAGGTAGGATATACTTATTTCTTTTCCACTTAATCTCATTAAGTAGCAAAGGCTATTCCTCTTAATATTGTCCTTGTCATTTCAAAATTGATGTTATCCTGATTAGTATTAACATGTGCATGTGTATGAATTAATGTTTGTCAAGCTTTTCTGTATATTCTAAAAATTATACTGAGAAGAGAATATTATAGGAATTATATTATCAATGAACTTCGATAAGGAGGTTTACAAAGGATCCATGAAAGCCTCATATTTTCCTTTTAGGGCAGTTGTAACAAATCAAACAAACTGGTAATTTATTTTGATAAACGAAGTAAATTATATTCAGTGTAGAAACTGTGGAACTTCCCGAAAAGCATAAAGAAGAAAATTAAAATGGCGCACCACAATCCAGGTCGAGTAATTAAGGTGTATGATTCATATTTTTCAAAAGCTGTGTTTGAAGGTGACCCTATCCCTAGAACATCTGAAATAAATCAGTTTGCCAATCTGATAAATAATTTTTTTCCTTTTTCTTCTTTGATTTTTATTTAATTTTAATTTTTAATATAGATGTAATGCTTTTTTGTTGTATATTTTTTATTTATTTAAGTGATGCTGAAAACACATACCATAGTCATATGCCAGTATGTAGACTGAATTATTTTTGGCAGTAGATTATTTAGTAAAAGGAAATATCTATTTAAAGTCAATACAAGTGAAGGAAAAAGAGTCCTGAACAGAGACTGGGAAAGAAGTTAAATGAGAGGTTTTAAGGAAGTTCTACCTTTATTGTGCAAGAACTACCCAAATTCTATTATCTAGACTACAGAAACGTACAGAAAATTGACCAAAAAATAATTTGTTATCAAATAAATCAAGGAAAGCCTACATCACATCTACCCCCAACCCAGAATACTCAAAACGAACATAGCATTTTATGACCTCTGAGATGCTGTTTAATAAAACATCTTTTTTTATTTGTTTTCTTAATGCTTTAGTGTCACTGTACTTAAAAGTGTCATGACACAGACATACAACATTTAACATCTTTCCTCATCATGTTAATCTCCTAAATAACAAATGTTGGGGCCAGTGCACTTTGGACAATGACATCTTAGCTATGGTCATAATTTTCCTGGGCACGTACCACCATCATCTGTAGGGAAGCAAGTGCTTGAGCCTTGGGTGGGAGAAAGAATCAAATCATGAAAGACATAGATGGAGAGACAGAGGGAAAACCTACAGAAGCTGTTCTGGCCTCACGCATGGTTGGAAGAGAGTAAAAAAGTATATTCAAAAAATCATAATTACCGTTTATTTACCAGCAATTTATGTCCAGTACTAATTATATTACATATATGGATTTATTCCTATAGACAATTATAATTATTATCTACATTTTTCAGATGCAAAACTGACAGACAGGGAAATTAAGTACAGATAATGACAGAACTAGAAAATGACACAGTCTCAAAGCTGCTCTCACTCCAAAATCTGTAAGTGTGAAGTCACAGGTCCCTTGAACCAAGCTAGAGAAATGTAATATGAATTGAATTCCTGTTTTTCCCCCAACAGCAAAGAACTGCTCTATGTCCAAGATCAAGTAAAGATAAGAATTATAAATGATGTGTCCAGTAAAATGACTAGCAGAAGAAACAGTATTAATTAGCCCACACTAAACAATTACCATGTATCATATGCTTTACACACACATAACTACATCTAATCACTGTAAAACTTGTAATGCCTATTTCACTGGGTTTCTGGGCTACCATAATAAAGTATCATGGACAAGGTGGCTCAAACAACAGAAATTAATTTTCTCACTATTCTATAGGCAATTTAATATCACAGTTGCAATTTAGTCTCACAATTCTGAAATTAAAATGACAACAGGTTTGATTTCTTTAGAGGTCTCCTTTTGCTTGTATTCAGATGGCTGTATTCACCCTTTGTCTACACATCATTTTCCCTTTGTATGTATCTATGGTCTAATTTCCTCTTGTAATAAGATCACCAGACACATTGGATTAAATGTGTCTAATGACCTTATTTTAGCATGCTACTTCTTTGAAGATCCTATTTCCAAATATAGTCACATTCTCAAGGACTGATGCCTAGTGCATCAACATATGAATTTTGACTGAAACACAATTCAGCCTACAGCAGTCATTTTGCATATTTGAAAGCTGAGACTCATAGAAGATGGACAGCTTTCTCTATCACTTGCTAGTCAGTAATGGAGCAAGATTAGAACCCAGATCTCCTGCCCCTGACCTGATCATTGTTTCTACTAAACACACAGGTGGTAGTTTTTAAAATAACAAAATACTAGTCTTCTTTAAAAGAAATATTAAATGTGTAAGATTTTTAAAATCCCAAGAATACCGATTTTTTACTATCCTTGTCACAAAATGTCACTGTTAAGAGTACTTAACCAAAAAATCACTTTCTTTTATGTTATATGACTGTAATGTTGTTCCATTTTACATATACTGTTGCTTTTTATTTTTATCAAAAAGTAGTTGATATCCTGGTTATATTTGATCTAACTAAACTCAGAAATAGTACTTCTCAGGTCTTTTGTGTTTTAATGTTGTAAAAAATTTATAGAAATATATTTTCTCCGTGATTATCATCTATAAAGTACAAAAGTGAAGCTCCATTAGTTTTATTTTTCTGTATCTTTAAAAAATACAATTCTGAGGAGAAAAAAAAAGCAAAAACCTCAATTGTGAGTTGAACACAATTCACGAATGTTGAAGCTATAATTTTTTGACCATTAACATATTCTTGTTAGTAAAGGTAAATGGTGTGCACATATTTCACCCCCAATTTTATACTCTTTTATTTTGTTATTGTTGAAATATGGCTTTCCTCTTGAATATGAATATAGGAGAAGGGTCTTTCTTTCATACCCTTATAGAACCTTGAAGAAAAAGGATAGCAGAATTGTGCTAGGTCCATGATGAAGACCTGTCTCAGAAAAAGCAAAACGAATATGCTCTATGAAGAAGTAACCTGGCTCATTATGTTTTAGAACAAGGAAGGATAAGCTGTTCTGCAGAGCAGTGTGGCCCTTTTAAAAAAGAAATGTGTGATTGCTTAAAATAACAAAAGCAGGAAGGGTTGGAGTGCTTAAAATCAGGTGAAATATACTTTGGCATAATAAAGATACTAAAAGCACACATACTAAAGTTATTTTAGTGATAAATTAGCTATAGCTGGTGCTCATATTTTAATGAAAGGGACAGAAATGGGACAAAGCAGTAAAGTTAGAAAGCAGAAAAATAGCATAGAGTATGTTATGAGGCAAAATGCAAATGGGTGTGCATTTGTCACTGCACTATTGAATGCCACCAGGTAGAGCATTGAGGCAGAAGGTGCTGAGAAGCTGAAGATAGTGGCGCATGTATTTTCTGTAAAACACAATTATGATAGTCTTGTGTTGTATTTTATTTATGTCTGTTGGTATAGTTATAATAATTATGTGTATATATAATGTTAATATATACTACTTATAATCTTTATTGCACATATTACACTATAATATTACATTATAATTATATAATAAAACATAATTTTATTAATACGCTAATTTAATTTGCCTTTAATACCAAGTGTATTATGGGATTTTTTCTCTTCCATTTAAAGTCACTGCTTAATTTCTACCTTGTCCTTGAAGAGGGTAGAATTTGGGATTCAAAGAGAGTTATGTTTAGCTATTCTGACCTCCTCAACTTTGGCACTTTAGATTTTTCTAAGTGTCTACCAATTAAAAATACTGCCATGAATTTTTAAAAATTATTTGTTGCCTTAGACTTAAGCTCTGAGTCAGTATCCTAATTTGTAAGTAATTCACAAAAGCTCTGTCAGTTCTTCTAAAACTGTCTCAGGGAGAATTTATTGGTTTGGAACTTTGAGGGCAGGCAGCTTCTATTCTACAATCTCTGCAAAGCCAAATAAACTAGAACAAATGAGAACATCTTTAGTTATCCTTGAGAGAATAATTTACCAGCAATTGTTTATGCACAGTCATCTACATGCATTGGATACAAAATTTATTGTATTACACATGCAATAAATTACAATAAGTTTTGAAAAGGGGTATACGATCTACATAAACAGTAAATGACACTTTAGAAGATTGGCGTGTATCAATGAAATCCACACATTGGCATATATTTTCTCAAGTGATGTAGAACCAGATACAAAGCCTGAATGCCATTATATTACTTTCTTAGATGATAATAGGAGAAGGGTGTTCCTTAATAAGTACAGGTATCAAAAGAAGAAAGGAAGGTAATAATTTGCGATCATTTAGGCAGGGAGGAATAAAAATCGGGTATGGAAATGCAGTGGTACTCAGGTTGCACAGGTCATCAAATGCCACAGTAAGAACTGTGAACTACATCGTATGCAATAGAGACTTACTGGAGGATATTTAAGTAAGAGACTAGTCACATAATCAAAGAAGTACTTACTTTCCTTAATAGGGTATGCTAATCTATATTACACAGTAGACTCTAAATGTTTGGGTGTCTTCAGATGGATCCACTCTACAGTTTGTTTCTCCTGCTTCTTTCTGCACTGGTCCTTTGAGATTTACTTGTGTGGATTACATTAGGGAGCTCTTTTATGGATTGAATTGGGTTTTCACAAAATTCATGCGTTAAAGTCTTAACCCTCAGCAGCTCAGCACGTGACCGTATTTAGCTTCAGTCATTACAGAACTAATCATGTTAAAATGAAGTCATTAGGGTGGGCCTTAATACCATATAACTGGTGTTCTTATAAAAAGAGAAAGTTAGTACACAGAGAGAGACCCATATAGAAGGTAGACAGCATGAAGACGGAAAAAAGGCTGACATCTTCAAGCCAAGGAGAAAGGTAGAACATATTCTATCGTCATAGGGAAAAAATAGGGAGGCAGGAGGGTAAAGTCAGAATGTGTATTCCCTTGACCTTATGTTGTGTCCCACGGGCTGGTTTTCTACAAAAGTCAAGGTCTTTGCTCCTGG